ACCTCTTACCGATTAAGAGGTTGGCTCTTAATGTCACCATTAAGAACCAAACAAACAGCCCCTTACACTTTGACCCCTCTGCAAAATATGGATCTATCACTTGCGAACTTATTGATATTTTAATAATTTTAAAAGAGAAATGACTAAAAGTTTCTAAACCAGATTCACAGAAAAATATATGCTATTTTATATTTTTTTTATAGAAGCTTATTTTTATAAAACAATAATTTATATGTCTTTTAAGGGTGATGCTATTTGCATCTCGATATATGTTAGAATAAGATCAAATCATACATTGAAAATATAAATAGTAAGTTTTGATTTGATGTGTGAGAGTAAAAAATTAGTAGGTAAAGATGCACTTAGCCAACCCATCTTTTAACCATTAACAGTTAAAAATAGGCATGAAAATGACACTAGCTCCATCAGGAAACCCAGTGTAGCCGCTAGGCATGGGAGAAACTGCCCCATTTGAGAACTCGGTATATCTAGAGGTGGCAATGAGTCAGGTTGAGTTAGGTTCGGTTTCAATCTATTTATTAAACATGTTGAAAATCTCAACACAACCTAACCCATTTAATTAAATGGGTTGAGATTTTTCAACCCAACCCAACTTGTTACCTAAATGAGTTGACAACGGGTTGACCCGGTTATGATTTTCTTAACCCAATTTGTTAAATAAATGGGTTGAACCTGAGTTGACCCATTTAATTTTAAAATTTTAAATAAAAAAGTACGAGACTATTTTTTTTTTTTTTTGAATAAAACACAACACAACTACAAGTACAAACAAATTGTTCAAAGTTTGAATAAAACACAACCATAACAAATATATTGTTCAAAATAAATTGGAAAATTTTAAATTCTAAATAACTTACTTTCACCAACCCCAAGTTCACTATCGATATTACTCTCTCTTGATCCTCTATCTTCTCTTGAAGAGTAAGATTGGATTTTGGAGGCGATAATGGAGTAATGGACTAAAAAGTTTTCTTAGAGTTTCATGATGATTAATAAAGATGATTTAAATTTGGACATACATCTCAAGACGGTAAGATTTTTAATTACGAATAAAACAAAATTAAATATTAGAATACTAGATAGAGTATTAAAAATAAAATTATATAATATTTAAATGAGTTGGAAACAAGTTGAAAAAGAATTAAAAACAGGTCAAAAAATTCAAACCAATCCAACCCATTTATTTATATAGGTTAGACGCTTTAACCCATTTATTTAAATGAGTTAAAAATCTCAACTCAACCTGCTAATTCTGGGTTGACTTGGGGTTGGGTTATTTTTTGTCACCCCTAGGTGTACCCGCCATGACAAGGACGGGGATTCCTTACAAAACCGAAGATGTGGACGGAAATGCCCGAAAGTTAAAGATAGGGGATGGTAACGTGGTCCCCGCCTCATTCCGTCCATGAATATTAAATATATTTATTATTTATAAAGAATTAGATTTAATATCTTTTAGATTTAGAAATAGTATTTTTACATTTTTTTAATATACATTTTTGCTGAGTTGTCTTACTCTTTTTTAGATAAAAACACGTTGAAAGTCGAAAGCGTTTATCAAACAATTACGTATGTGATGTGATTTTAATCATATATAAGTATTTTATACTCTATAAAAGCAAATTTTGAAAATATGTGTGTTTTAGACATGGACCATTATCGATCAAGTATGGTATTAAACACATTTGATTTAAAACATCTTATTTTAACACAGGAAAAATGTCTGATTTTCCGTTGGGGACAGAGATGGAGATGTGATCATATTCCTCGAGTGGGATGAGGATGGGGATTGGGATCTCCGCCCCATTCCCATGCCTAGTAGCCGCCCAGACAGCGCTAAGATTCCCCGCAAAACCGGGGATCGGGGATCAGTAGCGGGGTCCTTGTATATTAACTATATTATATACTTATTATTATATATATTTATATTTATTACTAAATATATTATTTATTAGATTTAGTATCTTTTAGATTTATAAAGAGTATTTTGAACTTTCTTCTTATAGACATTTTCTTAACTTGTCTTACTACTTTTTTAGATTAAAAAAAAAGCCGAAAACATTTTATCAAACAATTACACATGATGTTGTGAATTTATTCACATATGAATATTTGATTCTCCGTTAATTTTTTTTAAATATATGAGATTTAAACATGAACCACTATCGATCGAGTATAGTTTCTAACACGTACGGTTTAAAATATCTCAAATAAACAGGAAAAAAAAATCCCTTATTCTCCGTTAGGGACGAAGATGGGAATCTGATCATATTCCCCAACAGGGATAAGGACTGAGATTCGAGTCTCTGTTCCAACCCCACCCCATTCCCATGATTAGTTAAAAATTAACCATTACTAATTTTTCTGTTTCGAACGAGTAGAATACTGGTGACGTCTTTCCATTAAATCCAACAAAAATCGCATCTTTGTATGAAGTGTGTGTCAAAACTAAACGAAAAGTCATGTCTTTTTGTTTAATACCAAATGGAAAATCACTACTTTAAAAAGCCGACGAACTTAATAAAAAGAGCATGTCTTATTACAACAATAAAAAAATTCCTCAAATTATTAATCTGATTCCTTATAATACTAAATGGAATCAAATTGGGCCTCGATTATTTTGACGACAACTCGACAATATAACATTGTAGTGAACGTCACGCAAGAATCACAAAACACTTTCATCTACTTTAAAAGAGTTCCGCTTTGATTTTATTCTTCATAATACCTTGAGAATCTGCTTTTTCAAAATATTCGTCCTATAATTCTTAACCTCTCAAGTATTAATCTAGTAGGAGGCTCTCGAAAGCTTTATTCCGTTCTTGTTTTTTCAAACGTTAATTATATGTCCTTTGAACTATTATTATATTAATTAAATTTCTTGATAATTTTATTTCAGTATACGTAGATACTTTCCACCTATTATTCCAACAAGGAATCCGACGGGCTGCTATGTTTTTTTTTATTATAATTAACCTGTATATCCAAACTCGCTATGCGAGCCGACTAATCCCATGGCGTACCACCTGCTTTGCGGGTAGCCCGGAGTCACCGCATTTGAACCTCCAGGTACTTTTGATCTTTGGAATTGAAGCTCAAAGCAATCAGACACCACCGTTGTGGTTGGGCTGCTGCTATGTTTTGACACGTGGGTGAAAGGTCGAAGAAATCGAATGGCAAATATTTAGGTGGTCTTTTAGCTATCGAATTGAATTCGAAAAAGTATTTATAAGCTGTAAGAATCTTGAGAGTGAAGTATTTGGACTTTTATCTATAAGAATCATATGGTGTATGGGTTGGGAAATGGACCAATAAAACTTGTATATTCCAATCCCGATGAAGAGGTTACTTAGCGAATATAATGGATTTCGTGTTTGAAACGACATGCGCTGATTATGCATGAGTTAAATGTTGAAAGGAATTGAACACTTGATGGAAATTTCTATGCTAATTAATAAAGAAAATATGGAAAGAGAAAAGGTGTTTTTACTTCACTTCACTTGTCTGAAACACCCTTCAATTCTCTCACTAAAACAAAACCAACCTATTTATTGATTATCATTTACCAATGGGATTGGGATAGGGATTGGTCATGGTGTTGATACGCTAAAAAGTGCATATTAATTGCTCTTAGAACTTTGAGGTCATTAGGTTACTAAGGGGCCGTTTACTCGGATAAGCATTTACCAAGTCATATTACCTTACTGGGTGAGTATGGCAAGGACCAAAAGTCATACCTGGTAAGAGCGAGACAAGGAACAAGAGTCTTACCCGATAAATGAAGGTTGCGACTCTTACCATGGTAAGAGCTTATCCCCAACTTTGGTTGTGGAAGCAACTATGGTTGCTCTAAAGGTGGTAGTTTAATTAGTGTGGCAAGTGATTTTTGGTTGCTTACGTACATATGAGATGTTGTGAAACAAGAATGTGAAAAATCGTTGATTTGTGCTTAGAAAATGAAACAATATTGCATGTTAACCGTCCTTTTGCGACGGATTACAGGGAGCGTCTTGATTTGGGTCACCGCACTACACACATACAAAGTTCATTAATTTGTTTATGAGCATCAAACGATCCAAGAGCAATGAGGACACCCGGTTGGTTGGGATAGGTTGTTGGCTCATGCATTTGGAAAGAGGGGGAATAATTGGAATTCACTACTAATATATTGATTGATATCATTTTGAACATCAACATTTCTTTTATATTAAGATGGGAATAGGAATTAAGTTGTTGATGTATACAGATGATGAACAAGTGGATGATTTGGTAATAGAAATTTTCATGATAAAATTAGGAAATGGTTATTTATTTGTTACCATAAGTTCTTCCCATTTCCATTTCCATTCCCATTCCTATTCCCATTCTCATTCCCATTCCCATTCCCATCACAAATCCGTTTTAAATAATTTTTTTTTTTCCCAAAAAATTCAGTGGGGGATTTATGGCGGATATGAATAAACGTTGACTTTCTTTGACTTTTTTGGGATCCGTCGGAAAAATCCGTCTGTGATACTCTTTTTTTAGTAGTGATTTTATGGTTGATGATTCCGTAACTTTGATATATGATCATTTCACTAATGTTTCTTTGACTTTTATAAGATAGTTTGTAAATAAAGTTGCTCATCTCGTTACGTAAACAATCTGTTTTTTTCCGTCGTAATTTCCAAAATCACGATGTTATTGCTGGTTTCTACTCCACGTTAATGAAGGATATCGTTTGTTTAATGAAGTTGTTTTCTGAATTAAAATAGAGATGGTGAAATGTTTTATGAATAAAGAAATTCAAAGGGAAATTGAATTAAATATAAATTTGGTCACGTTTACAAATGAGTTGGTCAAATTTGAACAAACACAGGTCGATAATTAACAAAACAATAGGGTCAATATATGTTGATGTTGACCACTAAAAAGATCCAAACTATATAGAAAAAGAATCATTTCTGAAACTGGCCTAACTCCATCCATACCCAATGTCTTTTTCATAAAAAAGAAACACCAAGAAAATAAAAATTAAAAATTAAAAGTCGTCTGTTTCCATATGCTGTGTGTATATGTTTATATGTATCTTCTCTTTCCTCTTTTCTTCACCGCAAAGATGCGTTTCCTTGTGAATACGCGTATGGAGATATTGACACTTGCCTGGAATAATAAACACGAAACACATCAATAATTGTAATGTTTCAAACTCAAAAGTACAATTTCTATCTTTGCTTTTATATTTATAAATTTGTTTAAGTTACACAAATGTTTAGATTAGTCGAATCTCATACGAGGTATAAGAATATCTCCAATAAATTCTTCACAATGAAGAATTAAAACTGAAAATCTTCAAAGAAAATTATATTCATCTCCAGCAACCTCTCCATTTTAGATATTACAATATGAAGTATATTATTAAAATATTCTTAAAAAAATAAAAAATAATTATTTATTTTTGAAGAGGTTTTGGAGAATCTATTGGAGCAAAAATCCTAAAAATCTTCATTTTAAAGAATCTATTGGAGATGATGTAAGTGTTCGTTCAACATAATACCCCCTTTTTTTATTTTTTAATCTAAACATTTTTTGTAACGTTAAGAAAAAATCAGGAATGGTGTTGAACGAAGACTTAAACCTCATTTGAAAGTAAATTGATTATTTTGTTTTTGTGTTTACAATTTTATAGAAGTAAACAGAAAATGATATTTAACAACCATTTTTGGTTGTTGCTTGACCTTCGAGGAAGGATCAATTAAATGTATATAATATGTATTATATTATTGTGTTTAATTTGTAAATTATGTTTGATTGGCATACATATCTGGAGATGGTAAGTTTTGAGATATAATATCAGATGTTAAGAATATTATAATATTTCAAATTTTATGATCTCAAAAACGTAAGTGAGTCAAAATTTTGTTAGTGCTAATTAATGATGAAATAAGAACAACAATTTGCAATACGCACCTTTCTTTGCGTTTCTCCAAAAACCTCCTCAATGACTTCTTCCGTGACAATGGTAGATCTGTGGAAAATAAACCAAATAAGCATAAACAAGGGATATGTGATGTTTAAGTAATTGACGAAGAACAAATTAAGAATCAAAAGTTGTTAAATAGATCATTATACATACCTTTGTTGAGTACTCCGCCTAGCGCTTGGTTTTGATTGCTTGGAGGCGGTCCAGGCTTCGAATTCACGGCAGTTGATTCCACAACAAGTTTAGAACCTGAACTCCCAGTCTCAGCAAGTTTCATGATACTTTCCGCCACGTCAGGAGAAACATCAAAAACTGAAACGCTTCCATTGTAGAATATAGTCATAGGAGCAGCACTTCTAGCGATTTTAACACCGCCACAATCCTGGCTATAAACAGGCAGAGTTTGAGTTTGCTGATGAGGAGACGAACACGATTTGTTCGACAGGAAACTGTTGTTTGCAGAAGCGGAAGCAATCGCAGTTTTAAGAAGCTCCGGATTGATCTTCGATATCACGCCTTGAATATCTGCAAAAGTAGAGTCCGATTAGTAACAATCCAGTTAACATACATAGAAATCAAACTATATGTTCAACCAGATTAATTAACATCAAACTAAACCTACCTCGACGATCAGAAAGCCTCTTTGGAGGGGGTGAAATGACGGATGCTTCGCCTCTGAGACGAAAGAAATCGATTTCAACGGCGGATGATCCTGACATGATTACTTCAAAGCAACTGAATTGATATGATGGAAGAAGATTGAGATTGAGAGAGAGAGAGAGAGAGAGAGAGAGAGAGAGGAAAATGAGAAATAGTTATGGATGATGGATGTGATAAATACGATGATGGTGGGGGGTGTTGGGATCTGGATGAATAGAATAATAATAAATAATAATAATAAGAAGAAGAAGGGAGTTGAGCACGAGATAAATGTGATATAATGGCGTGTACCCCGTGTTTCATTTTAGTCGTCCATCCACACCTACACTTTCTTCAAACACGCCTTTTTTGTTTTTTAGACTAAAACGAACACACCCAGAAAATATTGGCTTCTCAATTTTTTATTTGTTAAATCAAACTAATCATTTTTTTAATAAACATTTAAATACTCCTTCTAATTTATGATATTAAATAAAAAAGGGAATTCTTTTGTTTTAAATTCATATAATAACAATTCTAACTCATTTTTTTTTGTTTTAAACAATATACATACACACACACACACATATATATATATATATATATATATGTGTGTGTGTGTGCGCGCACGCACGCACGCACGCACGCATGTGAAGGATGTGTGAAAATGAAAGTCATAATGAAAAACGTAAGAAGATATTTGAACTTTTGATCAATTTTAATTTCATGTCCATACATGAATTACGCTTTGAAGGGAATTAATTTGGTGTATCTCGGTACACCTCATTAGTATTGATCTAAGTGTGGAGATCTTTTTTTATGCTTCTCAACTTAACTTTCATTTTTATCAAAACTCAACTATATATATATATATATATGTGTGTGTGTGTATGATACAATAATGTATAGTTATATAAATAGTAACATATATATCTCTTGGTTAAGGGAAAGCAAAAGCAATATGTATCAGCGTAAGCAAAATATTGTATCTTTTACAAACACAATTTGTTTGTTTATTATATGTAGAGGGACCTTCTTTTAAGAATTCATTAAATTGTTATAATATTGAGAACTTGTTCATCATGTAATATTTTATATGATTCTTTTCATCAAATACTAGGATTTAAAATACTGATGAACATATATTTGTTTCACAATATGATTGTTCCATATGTGTTTGTTTCACAATGTGAATCTTTCGAACCCATTTGTGAAACAAAAGTTATACGTAAAAAAATTTCACATTGTGAAACAAATATATGTTCATCAATACATAAAATATAGTCATAGATGAGAAAAAAAATCATGTGAAAACAATACGTTAAGACAATAGTTCTCACAATTATCATAATATCTTGAATTCTCAAATGATTAAGCCATTGTATGTATTTGTGTATCAACAATTTAATATTACATATATTTTATATGTACAAGATTAAATTGAGCGATGAACAATGCTCATCAATCACCAAAAATCAAAGACACATGATTATTTCAAAGAATGAAGATAAACCACCACCAACCAGATGTGGAGCCAAGAATTTTGGATGAGGGGGTTCGTTCGTTCAATGTCACACGTGTTGTAATATAATGACGATAAATACTGTATTAGAAAAAATCACCATCGTGACTAAAAGGGTATCTTGATTTATGAAGTCGATATTAATTGCTCAACTAACTTTATCAGGTTAGATATTTGGATAACCTAAGCTTAAACGCGTTTTCTGATCACGAACCAATATGTTGACCTGCCCCACATTTTTCGCTCATTACACATCCCAAGATAAGCAAATAAGAATCCATCTTTTGAAAATTCAAACAAGTTACGATTTACATGTATATATGCTACGTGAAAAATTAAACATAACATTAACGATTATATACTATTAATCAGGACTTGAGTTTCTTTTAACTATAAAACTGAAGCATATTCATCAAGTAGACATTTTACATAATTTCTAATTATATTTATATTATATATTCGAGTATAAAACATATAAATAAATTTAATTAATTAGGGTTTGAAAAATTAAATTTGCTAAAAAAACCAAATTTTATTAAATCTATATACTATATTATAAAGCATTTGACAAAAATTCTTAAAAACCATTTTTTATGCATGAAATACTGTATATTGATGCATATTACTTAAAATTCAAGATTACGAGTAATTATGCATAAGTACAACTTATTAAAGCTTCATTTTGAATTCGTGTAACTAACTGCGATAAACATAATCAATAGAGGATAAACATCTCATTTTAAAATCTAAAAAATCTAAAATATAGTTAGAATAGTTATCAAACTCTAACAAAATAATTAATTATTATCTTTATAAGAAAAAAATTATGCATAAGTACAACTTATTAAAGCTCCATGTTTGAATTCGTGTAACTAACTGCGGATAAACATAATCAAATAGAGAATAAACATCTCATTTTAAAATCTAAAAACTCTAAAATATAATTAGAATAATTATCAAGTTTTAACAAAATAATTAATTATTATCTTTATAAAAAAATTATATTATTTAACTAAATATAAATTACTTCGTTATTGAACCTAATTAAGTTATAATAAAAAAATTGAATTAAAAAATTACACAAAAAATGAGAAATTTTAAATAGTTAATTTGATACTAATATCGATATATTTTTTGTCAAATTTTATGATATCTTCAAATTTATATTTTATTGAAAAATAAAAACATCATTGTTTTTTTTTTTCAAATCACATAAGACCATATTATAACATCGACTGAGATAAAGAATAAAATGAAATATTAAAATTAATATGTATCTCGCTGCGTTGCGCGAGTAAAAATCTAAAATATAAATAGGATAATTATTGAGTTTTAACAAAATATTTAGTTATTATCTTTATAAAAAATTATGTTATTAAACTTAAATTAAATTACTTCGTTACTAGACCTAAATTAAATTATAATAAAAAATTTGAGATAAGAAAATTACACCAAAAACAAGAATTTTAAAAAAGATTAATTTGATACCGATATCAATATATATTTTTCCAAAATTTTATGATATTTTCAAATTTATATTTTATTAAAAAAATAAAAATATAATCGTGTTTTCAAAACCACATAAAACTATATTATATCGATATAAAAAAAAAAAATAGAACACCGAAATCAAGATGTGTCTCGATACATTATACGGATATCCTTCTAGTACTAATTAACCTATTTGTTGTGATGGGAAAATGGGATATTGCATGCAAAATTTCGTAGGATATGTGTGACAAGAAGTCTAATGGGGTTGGACCATGTAGCCACGCCTTTGCCACCAACCCAACTTGCAAAGGTTGAATTGAGTTACACTTTCTAATGGGTTTTGGGTTTAGATGTGAGTTTTTTAAATCGATGTAATTGAGTTGGGTTGTTCAATTAATGTCTGAAACCATTTAATTCAACCTTATTATTAGTCATTAAAGTGATTATTAGTAAACATCTCGGTAAACACTAACTGGTAAAGATATTATCTATCACTTACCAAATAACATTCTTAGTCATTGTCATGTTTCTTACCGAGTAAAATTTTCGGTCAATATCATGCTTACCCTGGTAAGGTAAGTGACATTTGTTAAACACGGTACACATGTTAGGATATAGGCTATGTTTGGCAAACTAGCTGATAACTGATAAGTTATGTGGTAGTTTATAAGGTAGTTGATGAACACATTGTGTTTGGCAAAAACTAGTTTATAAACATGTAAAATGAATGAAAAAAACATCCTGAAATAATAGTGAATTACAAAAATCTCATAATATATTTAAAATAAATTTCTAATAATATAATTAAAACAATATTCTAATAATATAATATGCTAACTAATACAAACAAGACAATAAATTTTTTTAAAATATAACGTGTTAATTGAAAGAATGTAAAATTGAATATGTACTATAAATTTTGAATTTGTTAAAACAATTTTTTTTTAAAAAAATCTACATTAATCTATGATTTTAAATAACCATTAATATAATGTGAATAACAATAAATTGGTCAACCTCATATCCCAATTAATTAATATTTTTTTTAAAATTTGTTTTAATAAATTCAAAATTTATAGTATATATGTACAATGATCTATGAAATAAAATAACTATGACTTTAATTTATATGTAATTTATATAAACATTTTAGAACTGTCATATTTGTTTTTTGATAACTAAATATATTGAATAATAAACCAAAAAGAATTGAAATAATTAATAAAATTTATAAATACTTAATAATCGTTATTCATATATAATATATAATTAAAATTAATTAATACATTTTAATTAATCTTAATTATTAATATTTATGAATAACATTAATTTATAATTAATAATAATATTAATTAATAGTCATCAGGGTCAAATTTGAAAAAAAAAATGTGAGAAAGCTCTTCATAAGTTGCTACAAGTAGCTATTAATAAGCCACTCTATAAACTAATTTACCTTTTTGGTAATCGTTTAGAATGCACACAATGTACCTTATTTGGTATCAGAATACAACACCTGTTAGGAGAATTCGTTTTGTACCTGTACAATATAACTGAAAAATTTTACCGTAAATCGACAAAATTCAGTTTTCGAATAAAATGGAACATGTTTAGATATTGATGCCTTAATTTCGTTTTTTTTATGTAGCTTATATAATTCAAAATTTGTTATAATTTAAAATTATATTTTTTTAATAGTTAAATAGCTTTTTTTTTTTCTAAAGATAATGATGGAATATTCACTTACTATTAGATAATTATCACGTATTCAAAGATTCTTATTATCATTTTATTTTACGCGTTAAAAGAACTTTTACTACTTTTAGTAGTCCATAAAATTTGGAATTTACTTTTTAAAAACGATTCATTTAATTTATCGTTTTCAGCTTAAAATAAAATTTTATATAATGTTAAATTGCACTGATACACATATAGTCTTTATTTAAGTCATATTCTTTTTACTGAGTGTAAACTAGAGACGGACCCACATCAATGGATACGGTAGCACATACCATAGTTTCGTTCCTCCGTCATTGTATAATTTTTTTAGGATCGTGAAATGGGTCATTCTATTATTTTGTTGTATGCAACCGTATATATTTTGAATCTATAATAAGAACATAAGTTTATTTTTTTGGTATAACTGGTTAGTAGAGTTTTT